CCTGGAGGCTTTCTGGATAGTTCTTAATTAGCATTGTCTGTTGCTCTGAGGGTCCTTGAACCCACCCAAGGTCCTGCTCAGGTTCCCTGCATTTTCCACTCAACTCCTTGCTTGTTCTGATTAAATACAGGCCGCCCAGGGTCAGTCAGCTGCTGGTTAGCGGCTATGAGCTCTGCTGAGGATCTCACTCCTCCTGCAGCCCTAAAGACAGCGCTGTATGTCTCATTCCTTTGGGCCTTTGCTGTGCACCTGTTTGGGGGATTCAGGGTCTAGGTACAGACCCCAACAGTTTTCCAGTATTTTCCAGACTCACTTTTCACTCAACATTACCAGGCAGACTATGCAAATCAAGGCAAATTCCGCATCACAAAACACTCCATAAACTTCCACTCCTCATGTCTATTGCATACTTTTTTTGTCAAAGCCTGGAATATTTCTCTGCCATCTTGGATCCTTGAAATTTACTTTTTTATGATTCCATCAAAATGTTTCCAATATTCCCACTTCCTTTCCTGCATTTTTCTTCTTAAATGGATTCCCCTTTTCGAGTTCACTGACTGCACACAATTTGTTCCATTACAGTTCAACCAGAACACAGCACTGAAAAGCCAAAATCTGGAGGTTTCCTGCCACTCATTTGCCTCATGACCTCATAAGACAGTTACTGCATCTGTCTTTCTCAGCGTCCCTAACTGTGAAGTGGGATCAAGGGTAATGGCATCTTGTAGCATTGCTGTGATATAAAATGACGTCATTGTTTGATGCTAAAAGTACTTTGTAAGCATTTCTTCAATTAAAACAAGCAAGTAAGGCAGTGAACGAGCACTGACCTCCTGAGTCACTAATCAGATTCTCAAAGTGCAATCTAGCAGCATTGGCCTCAAGAACAAGTTAGAAATGCAAATACTCCGGGCCTCACCTCCAACCTACTGAATAAAGAATGAAGCACCGAGTCCAAACATAAATGAGCTCTCAGCACAGTGTGAAGACCTGATTGGCCACCATACAGGTGACTTTAAAATGCCATCCAGCTCTTGCCTCCTGTGGACGGACGATAGTCCTGTTTTACCACTGAAACTGGACTGTCCCATTTGCAAGCAGCTTTGCAAGGATGAATGGTGGGAAGAAATTAAACCAGGAAGCCAGAAGGGAAAAAAGGAGCAATGCAGTCTATCCACTTCCCGGAGGAAGCAACCAAGACAAAAAAAAAAAAAAAAAATGATGGGGAAAGTCAGTGTTTGGAGGGAGAACTCGTGAATGTCTCCTCCTCGTTTCTTCTCTTATCAAAGAAACAGGAATCTGAACATAGATTAGTACTCTAAGAATGTTTTCATGAGAACTTTTAAGTTCTATAACCTCATATTAATAAGAAATATCGAATTATCAGGAAAAAAGCAGATTCCTTTTCCTTTGCTTTTTAGAATAGGACTGTTTCTCTGGAGCAAAAATAATGGGAACATTTACAGAAAAATGCAACCAATTTAGAGTTGTTTCCACAGCTAAATGCATGTGAAAAACTCAAGATGACACAGGAGTGGCTACACATCACATCAAGCAGGATCCTCACTCTTCACAAAACTGAGGGCACTCAGCACACTCTGGCCAGAACAAAACCTCGCATAATATTTCAGCCACACGAAAAGCTGCAGAGGGGCAGCACCAATACCTGTGCCCCCTCCATCCAGCTGGAGAACTTGCATAGCTCCAATAGGTTTTACAGTCTTCCGAAAAATTCTATGCATTTCAACTCCACCTATTAAAAATTGAATTAAAAAGTAGACCATAAGGCTTAGTAAAATAAGTGTCCACTGCCTTCCAGCCTCCTCTTTTCAGCCTGTGTAAACAAGCTGTCTGGTACTGAGACTTGCAGACAGAGGATGTTTTATAGGTAAGTCTGGGAATAATAAAACATGGCTAGAAGTGAATAAAACAAATACTGCCATCGTGCTCTCCCAATAAAGGAAAGGAATATTACAGGAGGCTTAATTTGCCCTTTTATGAATAAAGATTTTGTACTAAAAATGGTGGGGAAAGCTCCCAGGGATAATTCCACTATTTAGGCATAGTACTACAGATTCCGAGAGTAGAAAATAAGTACTATTTTACTCTGTTGAATGGAAAAATGTTTGCAAGCACGAGGAGAAAATATGCCCACATGCCACTACAAAGAAATTAAGCAAACATACAAAATCAACGAAATATACTTTATACGTGTTTTTGTTGATTTCCCTGGAACCCTGGGCTGACAAGATAAATAAAAAGAACATAAAAGATCATAAAGAAAGTGGCAATAATGGTTCTTTCATTGTGTTTACTGTGTGCTGTGGCTTGTACCATGAGGGTCTCCCAAAGACTCATGTGCTAAGGTGGGCACCCTGGGTTCTTTCATTGAGAGCTGGTACAGCATAGAGGATGCAGGACTTAGTGGAGGTGCTTAGGTCCCTGGCACTGTGGTGTTTAAGGGAACTGTGAGGTCCCTCCCTCTCAGCTCCAGATCAGGGTGTGACAGCTGCCTCAGAGATGTGCTTCTTGCCAAGATCTGCTGCTACCTGCTGCCCTTGTTAGAAGCCAAACTGTGGACTTTAAGCCTCCAAAATTATGAGCTAAATGCATTTTTCTCTTCATAAATTATCTGCCTCAAGGATTTCATTGAAGGAACACACAGCTCACTAAGGCATTGCTTCACAGATGTTGTTTCATTTAATTATTTTAATGATGATGGGAGTGATACAGTGGTTCAAATTTTCCAGCTAAGGAAGTCAATCATTAGAAGGCTGATGGACTTGTCCAGGGTCTGTGTAGGGAAACAGTGGTTCTGCGATCCAGCTCCATCTTTTAACCATTCTATTATCAGAGTACCTTGTCACTGTGGGGGTCCTTAGTCCTCTGAGTAGCCCTCGAGCAACAGACTACATGGCAAGTCCAGAGTCATCATCTTACAGAGAAGGAGAAACTAAAGCTAAAATGGAAATGGTCTGAAGTAACAGAACTGAAGCTAACATGTAGGACTCCTGAATTTTAATTCACCAGTATTGTTTCCTCTCTGTCGTTCACCCACAGTGGAATGGATCTTCTCTCCAAAACCTCTTGCCTCGTCATGTTCCAGTCCCATGAACAACACCACAAACTATTCTAGTTATTAGTGTCAACCTCAGAATCACTTGGCAGAATGGTTTTTTTTTTTTTTTTCTCCTTAATACCAAAGCCACTGTACCACGTGAAAGGCTTTTTATTTGTTTTGGGGTGGGACCCAGGGTATAGACTGCCTCCATTTGAATGTTCTGTAGGCTTCTCAAAGCTGGCACAGATGCCACCATGTTGGATAAAGAAACCTACGCAATCTGTGCTCAGTGCAATCTGTTGGTAATCTAAGAAAAGGGCAACCCTGAATTGGCAAGGCCAGAAATCTCACCTTTTTTGCTGACTTCTCTCTTTTCCTTTCTTCTACATTTAAGTTGACAGTTCATGTCAGACATTAGGTAAACGTTAGGTGAATAAGCTCACGCATTTACAGTGTGCATCTGAGTATGGTTTCTCGCCTGGGAGGGTACATTTTTCATAAATATACGTGGCATTATCTACACGCACGTGCATCTCTCCAAAACACTGCTTGTGTTAATCTTATACTTATGCATCTTTAGAACTCAAAATGTCCCTGGGGGAAGTTGCAGACTGCCTCCTCTGCTACGTTGCTTTTCATAACATCATTGTGAAAGTTCCCACACTTAGGAATTCTCTCAGTGTTTGGCTTTACTGGAAATCACTGGCATACACATAGGAAATTTGTGGCTCCTAAGGATTCTGCCCTCTGAAAAGAGCTGACAGAGAATGGTCCTTCAAAACAGTAATCTCCACCACTTTTTAATCAAGCAAGCAAGAAATGGCTTTCGACATTGATTAGACAGAGCAGTCAAGCAGAGGCCTCCAGTCAGTCATGAGTGTCATCTGTCTGGATTACACAGCCATGAAGAAAAGGCGCCTTTCCAGTGGCGTGCACCAGGGTCTCCGGTGCCAAGCCCCTGCAGACTCAGGCTGCATCTACACAGGCTGGAGAGGACCAGGGCCAGAAGCCATCCCAGGGGGTTTCCTTCCTTCTGATGCCAGGTGCAGTGGTCAAAACTGTGCCTCTCTTTTATCTGAGAAGCACAAAGATCCTGTGGCAGCACTGGTGTCCAGGAGAATTAACACGAGTCACACAGAAAATTTAAAATTTTCTAATATGCACAGTAAAAATTGAAACAAGTGAGATTAGTTTGTATATTTTATTTGTCCCAATATATGCAGACTTCACATTTCTACACATAATATAGAGTGAGGGATTTTGTATTTTTTATATGAAGTCTCCAAACCATAGTGAGCATTTTGTGCATTGCACATCTCAACTTAGTAAATATTTGAAATAGCTTAAATAAAACATATCAAAGCATTAGAGTTATATTTAATGGAAAATATTTAACTTTTAATTAAAATAAGTTTAATTTAAAATATATTTCCTTGGTTACACTATCCGCATTTCCGGGGCTTTGTAGCCCTGGAAGGCTTGCAGCCACCGATTTAAACAGCTCAACTCTAGAAATTAGGATATGACTTTTTCACTTTTAATAGTGTTTGTAGGACCTTGTGAAGTACCTAGTTTCAGTAAATGTTATCAGATACTAGTTAACTAGGAAAATTATTTTAAACCACTTAAAAATAAAAGAAAAATATAAACCTTGGAATAAGAAAGAAAATCAAATTTGTTTCACATTTTATAACTCAAGTCCCTCTTCTGTGAATGTTAATTTCCTAGGTATCTCCCATAGTGTATATGTGGGCAAAGAATTCAAGATCAAGAGGGTTTGGGAAACGCTGCATACAAGCTCATCCTGCTTGAGATTCGCTGTGAGGAGGCGTGTTATGTTTTTATCATGGATGCGGTACACAAAAGTCTTATATCATGTTCTACTTTCATCTTTGAGCTATAATCATTGATCTCTCCCTCCCTCGCTCTTTTCCTCCCTCTCTCCCTACTACACCCCCTCTGACTCTCTATCAATTTTATAAGCAAATATGAGCCCACCATTCAGTAGGAATTCAGGAGCCAGGCGTGGTGGCCCATGCCTATAATTCCAGCACTTGGAAGGCTGAGATAGGAGGGTTGCTGTGAGTTCCAGTCCAGCCTGAACTGCCTAGTGGAACCTTGTCTCAAAAAAGACAAAAAAAAAAAAAATAGAAAATTCAGAAAATTTGTAGCAGCTTATGCTATAAAAGCACACAAAAATCATCACGCTAAATTCTGTTTATTGTTCCCTTATTTTCTACTATTCAGGTGATACATAATTTATGCACACACATACAGTCTAGTGCTATGAGCTATGCTGTTTATAATTGGGAAAGATGTCTGCCAAATCGGAGTCAAAAATTCTTAAGATTTACCCCCATTCAGTCTTTGTTCAATACCTTGTCATCTCTAAATAAATTATTTTATTATTATTATGAATACACTCATTTTTGCCTAACTTCAGATTTTCCTCTTATTCTTTCACATGTAGTCATTTTCCTAAAAACACAAACTTGATCATAGATTACTCCACTTGAGGTCTTTTTGGGGTTGTCCCAATCACTAAAAGATAAAGTTCAAAATCCTAAGGAAACTGTGGTAAATTAGTAAGACAGAGCTATATTACAATGTGACCGCCCAGCCACCCATCCAGTTGTAAAGTTTTTATCCCCATCTTCTTGAGTATGAGCTGAAGGTTTTCTCACCATTTTCTCGAGTCTTGCTTTGACCAACAGACTGATGGAAATGAAAATTTGATTTCCCAGGTGAGACTTAACATATCTTACACCTTCTGGTTTTATTTTCTCAGAACACTCCTCAGAGACAGCCATGAAGGGAAAATGAGTTTAGCTACCAAAAGATGAAGGGTCATGTGGGAAAAAAGCAAAGTTTCCCAGTGAAAAGCCAGCAGCAGGCGGTCAGACAGGTAAGAGACATCATCTTATGTCTTCTAGTCTGTCAAGTCTCCAGCTAAAATGAATTATATGAATGCGTCAGACAAAATCAACATGGTACTCTCCAAATGACTCATAAAACGATGTGAAATAGGAAAAATCATGGGCACTGATAGTTCACAATGGGCTCCCGACTGCTAACATACATCATTCATCTTTCTTTGTTTCTAACAGTTTTATTGAGATAACAGTTAACAAACGACAGAATTTGTTCATTTAAAACAGTTTTTAGTATACTGATGTATTTAGAACCTATCACTACAGGCAATTTTAGAGAAGTTTCATCATCTCAAAAACAAATTACCGTTTGCCTACTATATCCACAACCTCAGCCCTCCCATCTCTAAGCAACTTTTAGCTGACGTTTTTCCCTCTGGGTTTATTCTGGACGCTATATATAAGCAAATCATTCATATGCTGTCACTTGTGACTGGTACTCTAACTTAGCAGAATGTATTCAAGGTCATCCAAGTTGCAGTGTGTATCAATGCTTCATTCCTTTTAATGTTGAAATAATATTCCACTGTATGGATATGCCACATAGTCTTCTACCCATTCACCAATTAATTGATACTTAAGTTGATTTCAACATTATAGCTACTATGAAAACTCCAGCCACAGACACTTGCGTCCAAGTTTTCGTGTTTGCATTTCTCTTGGCCATGCTAGCAGTGGGTGTCTGTATCAAATGATAAATCTATATTTAACTTTGAAGAAAATTGACATGTTGCTGCGCTAGTTCCTGCATTATTTTATATTTCCACTAGAAGTCCACAAGATTTTCGTTCCTCCGGGTCCTTGTCAACACTTCAATTTTAGCTATTTTGATGCTGAGGTGGGGTGTAATTTCCACTGTGATTTGCATTTACTTAATGATTAACAGCACAGAGCATCTTTTCATATGCTTATTGGATGTTCCTTCCTCTCCCTTTCAGACATATTTGTGTAGATATTTTTCTACTTTTGTTTAGGTTATGTGACTTGTTTTTTTATTGTGTTGTAACTGTCCTTTCTATTTCCAAGACACAAATTTCTCTATCAGATATATAATGTATAAGAATCTCTAGAGCCTGTGGTTTTTTCTCACTCATGTGTGTGAGTGTGCAGTGCTGGGCTTTCGAAGCCAGGGACCCCCACGTGGCAGGCAAGCACTCAGCTATCGAGCACATCCTGATACTATCCTTTGAAGGTAATTTTTTTATCATTTATATTATGCTCATTTTAGCAATATTTTTCATTTGATGCTTGTGCTTTTGATGTCCATCACAGATCTGAGGTCATGAAGAGTCACCTTTTTTTCTGCAACATGTTTACAGTTTTAGCTTTTGGGTTTAGGTATCTAATTTTACTTTGACCTAATCACCTTTTACTTATGCTGTGAAGTGAGAATTTAAGTCCTTGTTTTGCTTGTAGCTATTCACTTGTCTCACAATCATTTATTAAAAAGACTGTTCTTCCCCACTGTCAAAAACACAGTTGGCCACAGGCGCTGATACACATGTATTATGGACCTTCATCTTATCTTTTATCTTTTCTTGGACAATGATGAGTGAATTTCTTAATCATCACTGTTTCCCAGGAACATAAACCTCAGGGAAAGTTCAACATTGTCAGTTCTCCTTTTGTAAAAGATGAATGAATACAACAGTTGCTGAATGTTGTAGTTAGAGTATACAAGGGTATCATAATCCAAATATTATAATTCCTTTTTGTCCTCTTCACGGTCTGGGAAGTTTGTAGTTGTAATCCCATTGAAACATTATTGAAATCTTGGTGAGTTAATTCAGATCTTCCATATCCAGTGCAATCCCTGGCAAGAATAAAGACACTAAGATATATTCAAAGTTACAGGCAGCCAAGGGGTTCTAAGTCTGGTCCAGGTGAGGATATATGGAACAAGGCCTTGATCCATGGCCTCATCCAGAATGTATTACCTCATAAAAAAAGGCAGTAGCTCAAGACTGAGTGACAGTGAGATTGGCAGAAATTCCATGAGTTTGTAAACTGAGCCAGTCAGGTAGAGAGCAAGAACTTTTGCAAAATGCAGGGAGAAGGGTATGAAGAAAGACCACTCTGCATAACTTGATCAAGGTAGCATTTGAATGATTTAGGAGGCTGTTGCTTCAGATTCTGATATGTAAACTTTTGTGCCCTGGGAAGCCATAGCCTATTATCTTGTGGTCAGAATTCAGTTGATATTTCTGGAGCTATGTGGCTCTGCCATCCCTCTGTGTTCAGCTGTTTATAGGAAACACAGTGCAAGGAAACAGGAAACTGTCAGCTGGGCCCAAGGATTATGTGTCAGTGCCTCAGCTAGCTTTATTTTCATTGCTGAGAGCCAATTGAAGGGGGAAGGAAATAGCATTGCCAGTTCTGTACATATAAGCACATGGAGACAGGGTTCAGTTAAACTAATGCCTAATGCCGAAGCAATCGTTTTGCATTCAAGGAGAATTTCCTGGGTCATCTCCTACACAAAGGAATAGATATAATACAGGGTACATCATTTATAGGATTATTTTATAATAGTCACCGAAAGAGTCAAATGCAGAAGAGTACAGGAAATCTATTCATGTACTAGAGACCCAAAGAATCCAGCTGAGGAGCTGGATCCCACAATAATGTCCTCTATGAGTCTAGCTGAAGGCTTAGAGCCCACAAAAATGTCTCATGCAAGCCTGTCTAAGGCTCTATACTGAGAAGACCCAAAGATGAATTATGGAAGCTATAAAATCTGCACCAGCAGGCTGACGGGTCTGTGCCAGCAGGCTGAGGGATCTGCACTGGAGCCAGGAAGTTTTATGCTCGAGGTTAAGGACCAGAGCTCCCCTGAAGAGAACCACAGCCATCCTCGGTGATAGAAAGAACCCAAGCCACTCCAGTGATAAGAACAGCTGAGTTCATATCAGGAAAACCAGTATGACAAGCTTCTCCAGTTTGGTTTTTGTTTTTTGAGTTTTAGGGGGCTTTGGTATATTATTGGCACCAGTCCTCAAGTGAGCCTTCCACACCCAGAACCATGCTGATTCATTTCAGTTCAGTGTTACAAGTTGACTATGAGTTAATCCACCACACAACAACAACAACAACAAAATAAACCTACATACCTTCAGGGAAGGGAAGGCAGTTCTAATGAACAGTCACTGCAGGCCTCATGAGGGTATTGTTCCTTTATAAGACTCTGAACCATCTGCTGAGAGTACCGGCAAAAGGTCAGGTGTCTTAGAATCTTGAAGTGTCTTCTAAAAGTATGCTGAAATGAAAAAGAGAAATAGTAACATAAAGGTAAACTAAAGCAAATATCTAGAAGTCAAACACTGATGATCAGTTCAGTGAGTGAAAATCTTTTGATGTAAAAAGCATGAATACAATTGCCAGTGGACAGGCTGGGTTACCTATCTGGAGCTATACTAATCCCTTGCTGATAACAAATGTTTGGTCCACTGCCCTAAGAAGGTTATTGAAGTTGAAATTTAGAATTTTGGTTAATAGATTAGAATAATTCTTTTTTCCCTCAAAGAGATAGACTTTAGTAAAATGATAGGTTGATTTGTTGAGGGTAGGTTATTAGTGGAAACACCATCCGTTGTAACCCCTTACCATCTCACTGGGATTGCTCAGAGGTGGTGATCAAGTGATCAGGTGATAGATGGGCACCCAGCAGTGGTAAGGCTGGGGAGTATGGCTGCATTCAGGACAATCTAAAATGGTATTAAAATGAGTATGTTCTAACCTAGTGATTTTAATAAGGAAGGAAGAAAAGAGAAAAGGGGCCATTAGGTATGAATGACCAGCATCTATAAGAAAAGAACAGAATGATTATTAGCAATTTTAAAGATAGGGATTAGAAGTCTTAGTCAACAATTTGCAAAAGCTGTCCAGTGTCTGAAAGCATCTTCTTATGGCACAAGTCTAGGCTCAACATTTCCTTTAAATTATCAGCTGTGTCTGTAAGGCTCCGAGAAACCGCTAGGTGAAATCTCCACCTTAGCAGTTTTCCACTTCTGTGCAGTCCTGAATTTATCCAAATACTAACTCTCTGGAGTTTTACTACTGTGTTTCTTATCAACAGTACCTAATTAGATCCTTTCCAAAATAATCAACAGTAATTTTTCTCTCGAATCACTTTCAGCATGTGAAATGCTTCAGTTAAAGTTCACGAAGAGACAGTTTAGGAAAATGTAGTGGAAAGGTAGCTTTAACTCAGTGATGACGGGACTGAGTATGGCAGCTAAACCTTTTGCAAAATATTTTGCCTTGAGATAAAAGTCCCCAAAAACTTGTTTTCTGTTACTAACTCAGAATGGATGGAACTTTATGACTGCAGGAGCTAATGGGAGCACCTTTGGCTAAGGGAACTCAAGATTTTTCTGAAAGTTTTGCAAATTTTAGTACAAAGATGTAATCACATTGTAACCTCTGCAGAAGATTATGGGTAGTGAGGACCATATTGCTTTCTATATAAAAGGCAGTATTGCAGAATTCTTTTATAATTGTTTCTGTTAAGTGAGTCCCCATCACTTACATGACAGTGAAGCACAACTGATAAATAGACTGGATCAGGAGATGCCCAGGGAGGTAATAGGGTCATGGGGATCAATCCAGTGATGTGCACAGTGGACTGTGCTGGTGGGTGGCAGGGTGTACATGGAGGTGGGTCACCAGGTTGTGGCTTTAGAGGGTATACCTCTAAATAATGCTGCTCTCCTGCCCTGCTTCTCAGATGCCATGAAGTGAGATTGGGCCACACGCCTTTCCACCATAATGTGTGTGACCTGGCCATGCATAAACGGACACATCTTGAACTCAGAACTAAAATAAAATCTTCTTCACCTTTAAACTGTGTCAGACGAGGGATATAGCTTGTGGCACAATACTTGCCTGGCAAGCACAAGGTCATTAGTTCAATGCCAAGTACTAAAATAAATAAACAACAAACAATAAGTGTCAGGTATTTTGTGGCAGCAACAAAAACTCTAATACACTTGATGTAAAATTTAGGACTTGGTGATAGACACCTACAATCCCAGCACTCTGGAGTCTGAGGCAAGGGAATCCCAGTGAATTCAAGGCCAGCTACAGCTACATAGTGAGTTTAAACCAGCCTGAACTAACATAGCTAGGCCCTGTCTCAAAAATAAAATAAAAGATTAAAATAAAATAAAATTTAGAATGGCCCAAAACAGAAACAAAAAAATGAAGCAAAATTTTTAAGCTCTGTGAAGGCTGTACCTTCTTAGCAAGAAAATGTTCCATTCTGTCCATATAAATACACAACAACTAACATGTATTCAAGTGCTGTACAGGTTGGAAGCTGAGATCTACCTGAAGACAATCAATGTTCCGTTTAGGCTTTAAGATCCTCGTTCCACCTTTTCAGTTTTTTCAGGATCACACATTATTAACAGGAAGCACACAACCTGAAAATAACGTCCATTCTCTTGTTTAGTTTCCTCATTCATGGTGTTAATGACACTAACTCATCTGATGAGTGATTTCATGGGGAAATTGACTTAACATTTGAAATTGCCTGGTATCACCAAAGGCCACCTTGAAAGTATCGGAGACAATTTCAATAAAGAATATAACTATATACTTTTTTCTCCTTTTAAAATCCCACCAGAGATTTTAACTTTGAGGGTTTAGATGTGACCATAATCTTGGTTAAGGTAGATTATTTAGCATAAAGTTTGGCGTTTCCATTAGTCTATCTCTCGTCACATGGACTTTGATCTTGGTAACAGCCATATTGCAAGGAGGTAGGGATGCATACAAAATTCCTTACTCCATTGTTCATTTTCCCATGGGGTTCTTCTCCTGTTTGGTGAGAACAAAAATCCTCCGTCTTGAAAGCATAAGTCATCTTCTGCTTAAAAAGGCATATCTGTGGTTTATCTGTCTATCCATCTATCGGGAGCTGATCAGTCTCCCAATCTTATGGACGAGTTTATAGTGAAGGATTAAATAAAACACACAATGCAACACGGTTCATGGCGATCAGAATGATCTCTCCTGGAGCTAAGACAAAGACTCCTCTGGACTGTCAGTGTTGACTAAGTCTTCAATATACCAGCAGAGTGCAGGAAAATGGAGGATACATCTAGGGCAAAAAGTACCTGATAATGTTCAAGGCCGCAGAAGTGGAAACAGAGACAATCCGAGCAGCCAGCACTGCTATGCAGAGAACTGTCTGGTTTCTAAGGTTGGCACGTAGGCCCCTTGAATTCCGAGTGAGCCAGTGTCCCCTGTTATGGTCTCACTGTGCCTTCAGAGGCATCACAGCATCCCAGACCGCCACAGCTCAGCACGGCCTCATCTCATTTTCATCATCTGTCTGTCTTCACTGTCTAATATTTGGCTCGTTGACAAACTCTAGCAGATACAATAAGTTCTGCTGCCTGGGCCGGTTCTACTTCAGAAAGAGGACTGTACTTGATAGATGTATCTTAGATGTCTGACAGCATAACCTATTAAATAACCTCCAGAGCCAGTTTCCAGGGATGATCCATCAACACAGTATCAGGTCAGGTTTTCACTGTGTGAAATGAGATATGTAAAGTTCCCTAACTGAAGCAAAACAATCATGCATTTCCCCTACTTTAAGAAGGTGCAGGAGAGATAAATAGTAATATAAGAAGAGAGGACGTAATATGTTAACTGGTTGGCTGAAAAGTGCTCTGTGGACTCAGTCTATTAACGCTATAGTCGTACTTAATACCTTAAGACAAGGGGATCTGCTTGTATAGCAAGGTCCAGGGTGAAAAAGAGTGAGCCAAAAGGTCTTCATAGTTTCCGTGAAACTGGAGTAGAACCTTCAGGACATGTCCAGAGCACACAGGTAGAAACTGACAGAAGAGCTTTTTGTAATTAGAGTTTCCTAGGGAGAGAACAGGCTGAAGAGCCTTCTTCAGCTAAGGAGCAACTGTTCTTCGAACTCCCAGATCAGGTTTGTTTTGTTTTGTTTTGAACAATAAAGTGATACAACCACTCCCTGCAACATCCAGTGAAGCCTAAAATCTTAGTCATCATTTTGAGAGGAGAGAGTGTTTTGATCTCCTGAAGAAGGCCATCCTTTAAATAATGGACTGTATTCTGGAAATTCATAATTTGTCTTTTGAAAAATGATTTTTTTCAGTGAGGGCTGAAAATAAATAAATGTAAGTTTTTACTAGTTTCTTTATTCACTGAGCAAAGGAAAACTCATCTACATATTGAATCACAATTGAATCACAAGAGACATTTACAAATCTTGAAAATATTGGTGGATGTTCTGGAAAGATATGAAGGGCTCTCCTCCCCCAGGAAAAGACAAACGTCTATCTCCTGATCCAGAGGCACACTGGGGGGAAAAAAAGGCAGAGCATAGCCACTACAGTGAAGTAAGTGGCTGTAGGCAGACAAAATGATATAATAATGGGGTAGGAAGTAAAACTCACAGGTCTGCGAGGCTGTCATTAGCAATAGGCTTATGACACCTGGGCCTGTGTTACACCTGTGGTCCTTTTTATGACAGGCTACATATTTACACAGCATTATCCAAACAGTGGCACAAATGGCAGCAAAAACAATGAGAACAATAACTTGGATCTATCAAGGATGTCAAACAAATGGGAACAGATAACAAAACCAAGGCACCAAACTCAGAATGAAGAGTGAAGAATATAACACAGAGAGAGCCGAGCTCAGACCCGGCTGCCACATTTTTACCACTTGTTCACTGAACGGAGTAGAATGTTATCTACATACTGAATCAAAACTGAACCACAAGAGACATTTATAAATCTTGAAAATCTTGGTTGATTTTGTGGAGAAGATGAGCAGCAAGCAAGAGGGCATCAAGGGTTCCACACTCGGTCGAAGGCTGGGCTCTGTGGTGAGAGGCATCTCTTGCTACAACTCTCCAAACTGGAAATAACTGAAAATCAGCATATGAGAATAAACAGAAGCTCTTTATTCAAGGTTTGCTACAAAAATACTCACCCAAATTCACTTTTGTTTGTCAGACACTCAAAGACAGGTAGGGTAGTGTATATGCTCTGTAGGGAAAGAAATGAGAAGGCTTCAGGTATGGACATTGTTTAGGCTGGGGAGTTAAGGGCAGGCTAACTACAAGCAGACCATCTACGGTGGCTGCTGAGAAGTGCATATTTGGTTTCCTCTGTTTGCTCCTAAATTAGAAATGGGAAAAATATTATACAACTTGGCAATTATTAACCAGTCTGAATTGATCTGGGAAATGATGGTTGCTGTAAGACTTCTTAAACTAGTTGCTCTGGAGATTGTGGTCAGACGTATGTTGTATACAGATTGACCATTTTTTTTGGTGTCTAATTCTACATTTGGCTACTATAACAAAATAGCTGATGCTGCATAGTAGACCAAAAAAAAATCCAGTTTAAGTCACATGTCTGGAAGTGCAAAAGCACAGAGCTACAATCTGTCTGGATTTCTGGTTATATCACAATATGGTGGGCAGCATCATGACAAAAGCAAGTACTATAGGGGAGAGATCACACGGTGAAAGAGAGAGAAGAAGCACGACAGGGACCAAATTTGCTTTACAAAAATGTATTCTCTCAGGAGCTGGTCTGCTCCTCAAGACCAGCATTAATGCACTCTGAGACTGGAATCCGCATGGCCGAAGGACCTTCATGAAATTCACCCCTTCAAAGCTCTCCAACCCCCACACTGCCACCCTAGGGAGCACCTTTCCAACACATGGAACTTAAGAGAGTGCACTCAAACAATATCCAAACCATAGTCTCTAACCACTCACAGAGTTCTTCAAGTTAAGATGTTGATTATATTAATAATGGTGCTCGCAATATTGATTACTTCGCCAATAAGGGAACCCACAAGCAAGAATTTCATAGCAGTTTCTTACTGGTCCCAACAGTGACTTGACCAGTGTAAGAGCTGAGCAAGAGGACTCAGACAGGATGGCTGTCCTTGTAACAAGTATTTAGTATTCATCTTGAAATGTTTCTTCAAATCCCAGGGGAAAGATCAGTTAAAAGGCTGTCTAGAGTTTCAATAAGGATCTTGTTAGTTAGGTTTTAGTTCATAGTTAATTGAAGTCAAGAGGAAAAATTCAGGTTTACTTGGGGGCTGTTGTAACTGGCTGGTTAAGGAAACTGGAAGGATAGAAAATCTGGTAAGAGTTGGAAATCCATGCAAAGTGCGAAGATCTGCTTCCCACAGAGACAGAAAGCTTGGCAGCCAGACAGCAGAGCCAGCAGAACCATCCATTCCACGCACTTCACAGAGGGATTCAAAGCAGCTCAGCACACATGCGCAAGGCTGGACGCAGAACCTCCAGAAGGGCAGGCTGCAGTTTCCCACTGAAGCACAGAACTGCTTCCCACTGATCTCCTTCCCAATTTTGATCACACATAATCCCAAAGGAAGATTAGTTTGAATCATTCAGTGAGTCTGATTTACACTGGCTATTTACAGAAGTACTGCAGAATGGAGATTTACATACTGAGCTTCTTACACTGGCCCTGTGGGAAGCTTTCCTAACGAACCTCAGATTGTACTCTTCAAAGCCTCCGGAAGACAAGCCAAGCCAAGGACTCACCACCAGATTTCCCCTGCAGAGCCCATTGCTTTGGCAGGAACATCCATCTTCTTGGAGGTTCCCTGAACACCCTGTGATTCCTCAGTCTCCCGGGAAGACACCTCCTTACACTCCTGGAAGGCCAGGAAGCCTGTGAAGCCAGGGCTCAGGCCAGGTTTCCTCAGAGGAACTTTGTCAGCCTTGGCTACGGATAGTCAGCCTTATTGCTTGAAAAGTGCCAGGTCGTACCTGATTAAACAAGCACCCTCCTGGAGTGTGACATCCCGGGCCAAACTTTGGTTGTGTTATCAGTGTTTCCAATCATGTTCTATTCTCCAGCAGGCAGGCTCCATTGGATCTATGCAAATGTGTGCCTTGCCATGCAAATAAGTATGTTCAGAAAGCATTTCGGAAATCTGAGAGGGCAAATCTGGAAGAGAAGGAAGTTCTTCTTCCATTTACAAGAAATAAACAGTCTGTGGAATTGTTAGTAGTGACAGACAGGTTAAAGAGAAAAGATTATTGATATACAGAAAACAGCCTTAAAATACTAACAAAACTTCAAACAAAATCCCAATCATCCTGCATCAACTCACTCAATTTTGGTATGGTACATTTCTGTTTACCATAGTTTCATTATGAATTTAGGAATATAAATTTCAATTTTTTTTTTACAAAAACTTGTCTGCCATCAAAGGTCCAAAAATATTAAATGAAAAATTCTAGCAAGAAACAATTTGTAAGTTTTAAATTGTTTGCTATTCCAAATAGCATGGTGACATCTGTGTCATCCCTCTGTGCCACACTTGAGCCATACTTTTTCCATATATCCGTGCTGTCCACTAAATCAGCTCATCAGTCACTTGCTGCATTCAGTAACCATCTTGGTTTTCATATTCATAGTGGCTAAGATGCAATGTTTGTGTTCAGTGAACCCTTATTTTACATAGTATGGCTGCAAAGCTCAAGAACATTGTTGCTGATACTTCGTATATGCCACAGATAAGCTGTGAAGCGTTCCCTTTAAGTGAAAAAGTAAAAGTTCTTTATTTAATAAGCAAAAAAAAGTATGCTGAAATTATTAACATCCACAGTAAGAATGAATTTTATATTCAAAAAATTGTAAAGAAAGGAAAGTAAATTCACGTTAATTATTGTCATCATAGGTCAAAATGCCACAGTGCACTTAATGCCACTAAGTTTTAGGAGGTGATGTGATCTTTAGTTTCAGCCACCCACTGGGGATCTGGAAATGTCTTGTTTGTGGAGGAGAGGAGGAGACTACTAGATCATTTCTTGATCTTGTCTCGGATTGGTTGTCTCATGGACACATCTGCTTGTCAATGAGATGTCTGGAAATTCTGATTGGTCCTATGGTGGGATCTAAGTGTTGTTTAAATCACACTATTAGAAATCTGTACCCCAAAGCATCTTCCACAGTCCTGCCCCACTAGGCTCTAAGACAGCTGCCTGTCAACAAAGGAACACTCTAAGCTACAAAACTGCAGGGATTTCATGGGAGCATCTGAGTAAAGTGAAATATCCCTCCCCTCAAAATTAATCCACAGGTAAAAAAATACTAAAAATGCCTATTATTCACTTACTGATATTTTTCAAAGATGAATGGTCTCAATAGAGTTCATTATGTTAATAACTCAATTGACAAGAAAAATCCAGTTATTTCTATGGCATACAATATAAAATAAAATCAATCTAAAAAAGTTCTATTCAAGATATCTATAAGTACAATGTTTAAACAGTATTTCCAAGTAACAGCACATACTACACCAATTTAAGAAAATGGATATATATATATAATCTATATGCAGAAAGTATTTTTAGGCACAATTTATAAAAATTCTGTTGCTGGGTGTGATGATACATGCCTGTAATTCCAGAACTTGGGAGGTTGAGGCAGGAAGATCTTGCTAGCTCAAGACCAGCCTGGGCTACAAAGTGAGCTCATGGCCAGGCTGAACTGCATAGCAAGATCCTGTCTCAAAAAGCTAAAAAAAAAATAAAATAAAATAAAATAAAAAATAACCCGTGGCATTAACTGCATATATTCTCGATACATAATTAGAATTTACCACAAACATATTAAGACTACAAAAGAATTTAGTAAACCTGAAGTAGGTGTTCAATATCGTATATTAACAAAATGCATAAATAAGTGATGAAAATTCCCAGGAGAAAACAACTTCCCTAAAATATACTGGGCTCAAATTAAAGAAGTAAAACTGTGACCAAATTAGTGTTTAAAGAACAAGATGATTGTTCACAAGAAAGTGATGTCTCGCATTAGGCAAGTAGCACCAGGACTCTGGCGAAAGAATCAGTGAGCTGATTCCCGAGTCTCTAGATCCTTCCCACACATAATGCAACTTTTTAAACATTCATACGTGGACCTCACAGAAATTTCACCCAGGGAGATACATGCATCTCCTTGGATTTGACAGTGCATCCCCTCAATTAGTCATTAGTGACAATTCAAACAAGTGGAATCATTTCTGACACTTCCTTACATAAGAAAAGGAACCTTTGTGACTTCCCAGGAGCCTCTGGGAAATCTCAAAGGTAGTTTTACTGCTGAAGCAGCTGATCATAAGCTGTGCCCAACACAGACCCCCAGCCTTGCATGCATTTCTCTCACTTTAATGCCTGTGCCCCATCTCAGGTGAAGCTGCCACCCTGTGCTTAAAATGAAACCAACATTTCCTGCCTCGACTTTCTGTCATCACTGTATTTGATGTTCCTTAAGTGTCAAGAACTCTCAGCACCAACGCTCAGCAGGCCCCATCTTCCCACAGCACCCCACTCCAGGCATGGAGCATTTAAAGGACTTGCCTACCAACCCTTTCCTGAGACATCTGGACTCAGACTCGGAGTGTATTTCTGTGGCAAGTCTCCCCTCCTCCTATTACAGCATCCTCTTAATACGTATCTCCTTTTTCACATACCGATTATGGTTTTTCTTTGGCAGTAATGATGCCGTGACTCAGACGGGAAGCGGACTGCCCTTCAGCTCCTCTCTTCGCCTGAGAGTTCATGCCAGCATTTTGCAGTATTTGTTCCTGTTCCTGGCCGGGAGAATCAGGATCCAGCAGTTGTGAGTCATATTTCCCATTTAGTGTTCAAGATACTTTCTGTGGTAGCACAGTAAGGACTTGACTATATTTTTCTCTTGGTTTTGTAATTTTTCCTATTTTTTCTGCCTTTTGAAGATTTGGTTAAAGAGCTCGATTCTCCCCCCAATGAAATCATGCCTTGGGTACAATCCCAAGGTCTGCAGTATGTGCAAGGTGTCCCTTTTGTTACTATGGCTTCTGTCCACCTAACTGGGGTCCCCACACCCCTTAGTTGTAGGTTCCATGTGTGGGTCAGTCGAGTGTTAACACCACACAGTGACAAAATTTTGAACTTAATCTTCGATGTCCTCCTTGGGGCATCTCAGGATTGCCCCAAGTCATTTCCTCTGAAGGCTCTTGCATATCACATCCCGAAGCCCTCATCCAAGAAACGGGGCACCCTTTTTCTCCTTTGTTTCATCCTTATTAGGCATGAATAGAAACAAGACACTTCCTGCAAACGCTTTCTAGAGGCCATTGCTGCCTTCAGAGCCCATCTTCCTTCTCTGACGCCTTTGAAAACCAGCCTCCTGTCATCGCCTACAGCATCTTCTCCTTCTATTTATCATTTTATCTCCAGCTCCTGGGGTCCTGGATCTTCCCACTTGATCACTTCCACTTGCTACACCCTCCATCTGACCAAGCCACACCTTCTGTTTCCCGCTAGATCTTCAGTTCCCTTGGCTCAGTGGAACCTTGAGTGCCTCTCTGCTGCTTGGTGGCTCTGGTGGAGCTCAGGGATGCCAACCTTACAACCCGAGGCTGCGACCATTGGGCTCTTCTGTCCACTCAGATGGGCTTAGGAGACACCAGGTAATGCCCATCCCTCTTCCATCCCTGCCCTGAAATCACCGGGACAGTGGTCAGCTTAGGGGTTCCCCACACAGGTACTCATGAAAATGCTTCAGCCCTCACCCTGTGCGGAATATTTCAGCTTGCCCCATCAGCTAAAAATACTATCCCTATGAAAATATGGAGGCGAGGCAATGACAAGCGTCAGCTCTTCCGTAGAAACCAGAGAGCTTTGCATTTCTGCGATTATGCCAGAATCATGGCTAAAATTTTTAAATTAGATAGAGCCAAGTGTAGTGGAATGACTTTACAGTTCCAGTGCTCAGGAGGCTGAACGCAGAAGACCAACCTGGCATCACAGTGAAACCCTATCTCAGGGAAAAATAAATATCTAAATAAAACAACCAGAGAAAGCAAACAATAAAAACCACAAAACCAAATAAAAATAAGTTAAGTTTTTCATGTCTGTTGAATGTATGCATATGCACATGCACACACACACACACACACACACACACACACACACACACACACATTAGATTTTGTAAAATTGCTCCAAATGGTATTACCACATTAAATTATAAAATCCTTTAGAGGAAGTCTTTTTACTTTGGTTTAGAGATACATAAGATCCTACATAAATCAATATTCCTGAACTTCACAGAAGTTAAGGAAATTAAACTTGCAGTACAATCAGTGTGAAAAAGTATTCCCACAGCTATAGCTCTTCCTTCCTGATTCATCCTTTCAAATTTCAGAAGCTTTTACTAATAATCTTTCTTTCATGGCAATGTACATATTCACATAGATTTGAGGGGAATCTGTCCTGCTTGGAACAGGACTTAATTGGAAACACTGACAATATAACTCAGTTTTTTGCTGGAATGTTTTTCAAAATTTAGCACACAACTCAGATAAATCATCAACCAATTAAAATAATTTGATATTATTGAATCAATAAATACAGTATGTCTTCAGCATTCTCAGCATTGAAAACACAGTTTTATTCTGAGTATTTTCTTCCTAAACCTACACAGCTATACTGAACCTCCTTGCTTGGTAATCCTAATATATTCTGGATATATTCTAATCATGCCCTTCTTATATTTATGGCATATTGTGCTTCATGATTATTACATCTGAAATTTTCTCTATGAAAAATTATGCTCATCTATTTTCATAAATTATATGCATTACCCACTGTTCTTTGAAAATAGAATTAATCTTTACATGTGTACATACTTGGTCTAAAACTTTTAGAACTGATTTTATGTCACATAAAAATTTAATTTCCCTGTTAGTTGTATTATCTCCATAGTTAACGTTCATCAGATCTTTCGCTTTTGAAAATTAGCCAAAATATGTTGACAATAATCATTTCGAGTCTTTTTTAAACTACAGATTGTTTAAAATTTTACTCTGATCTCTCCCAAGGGGAACTTGGGAATCAGCCATACACCAGTGGGCTTTGTCTTTACTAAGGGCTATCTCAGAAACTCGGCGTCCATGATGATACTGCTTTAATCACTGGGACCAAACCGTACCGGAGTAGAGGCTTTTAGACCTCTAGGTAAGAGACAAGAGTTCATGAGACTACTGATCTAGGACTACGTAGAAAAGGATTAATCACATAGCACTGAATGAGCCAATGGTCAGTGAGTATGGGCTCACACTGAAACAGGGGTATTCCCTATTTTCTGGATGGAAGGAATCTCCTCTTCTCTCTTTACCTTATCCCTCAGTCTGATAGACTATAATTTTTTCTTACAAAAAGAAGCAAAACTTCTATTGCTTCCAGATTCTCCCTCTCAAATTTCCGAAATGCTTTCTGAACATACTTATTTGTATGGCAAGGCACACATTTGCATAGATCCAATGGAGCCTGCCTGCTGCAGAATAGAACATGATTGGAAACACTGATAACACAACCAAAGTTTGGCCCAGAATGTCACACTCCAGGAGGGTGCTTGTTTAATCAGGTATGACCTGGCACTTTTCAAGCAATAAGGCTGACTATCTGTAGCTAAGGCTGACAAAGTTCCTCTGAGGAAACCTGGCCTGAGTCCTGGCTTCACAGGCTTCCTGGCCTTCCAGGTGTGTAAGGAGATGTCTTCCCAGGAGACTGAGGAATCACAGGGTGTTCAGGGAACCTCCAAGAAGATGGATGTTCCTGCCAAAGCAATGGGCTCTGCAGGGGAAATCTGGTGGTGAGTCCTTGGCTTGGCTTCTCCTCCGGAGGCTTTGGAGAGTATACTCTGAGTTTCTTTAGGAAAGCTTCCCACAGGGCCAGGGTAAGAAGCTCAGTATGTAAATTTCCATTCTGTAGTACTTATGTAAATAGCCAGTATAAATCATACTCACTGAATGATGCAAACTAATCTTCCTTTGGGATTATGTGTGATCAAATTTGGGAAGGGGATCAGTGGAAAACAGTTCTGTGCTTCAGTGGGAAACTGCAGCCTGCCTTTCTGGAGGCTCTGGGTCCAGCCTTGTGCGTGTGTGCTGAGCTGCTTTGAACCCCTCTGTGAAGTGCATGGAACCAATGGCTCTGCTGGCTCTGCTGGCTCTGCTGTCTGGCTGCCAAGCTTTCTCTCTCTCTGTGGAAAGCAGTGTGGGCCCTACCTTAATTAGGCTAAATCTTTTCACTTTGCATGGATTTCCAACTATTACCAGGTTTTCTATTCTTCCAGTTTCCTTAAGCATCTGACCACAAACAGCCTCCAAACTATCCTAATTGTTCTGTTTTTCTCTTTACTCCGAAGACTAAAAATTGACTACTTACATCCTTACTGAGGACTATGTCTTCTGGCCCCAGGTTCCAAAGAATCATTGCAAGCAAATTTCCAGTAACTTTTTCTATACCTGTAAGACCCATTGCTGCAGCAGACCTAGGCGTGCATCACAATAGCATGGTCCTATTTTTCCTTGTAAAAACACTTTGAGGATCACTAACTATAAAGAGCCTTTTCCTGATCTCATCTCAGTCCAGAAAAGTGTGTCTTTGTAAACTCTTGGGAAAGTTATTGGAATTGTAGCAAATTGATTCCAAACTACAACTTCCAGGGCAACTCAAAGCAAAAATAAAGACACTAAGGTGTACATATAATTATGGGGAGCCAAGGGTTCTAAGTCCAGCAAAGGTGGTGCTTCACCCAAATAAAGGCTCCAAGCCAGGGCCCAACCCAGATTTTATTAATTCTCCATGAGCAGAGTGGCTTAGGGATGACGGACAGTGAGAGTGGTGGGAAATACTCCAGCTCTGAGCTGGGTTAGGTAAGGGACCTAAAATCACCTCTGTGATAGGCAGAGGGAAAGAAACGCAAAGAACGTAATCTGCATAACACAACTGAGGCGGTATTTAATATTTTGGGGTCTGTGCTTCAGTTCTGATGCACAATCCTGTTTGCCCTGGGAAGTCATAGCCTCTTTCTGAGGCTCAGTCCCAGCTCACAGCGTGGAGCATGGCTCTCCATCTCACCCAGCTCAACCATGTTTTTTTGGAGTCACTGGCAGGGAAACAGTGCCTGTCACCTTACTTCAAAGATTACACATCTGCTCCTCAGCCAGCCCTATTTACATTGCTTAGAGGCAATTGAAGGGACAGAGACACAGCCCAGCCAGCTCTGTACACATCAATACATGGAGACAGGGCCAAGTTTATCAGAATGCAAGTAACTGTTCTTCTTTCAAGGAGAGTCACCCAAGTGACTATGTTTGCTAAAATGGTTGGGCCATGCAGGGCCTCATAGGAAAGTAGTTTGGACTACATAGAACACCACCGAGAGCGTTAGGGAGTCCAACAGTGCTGCCTGAAGGGCAGTTTCCATTTGCCAACTTTGGACTTCCGTGAAGTGGACACTCTCGGTTTCAATTCCTGTTCCTTCAACTTAGTACATCCTTTTACACTGACATTTTGTTCTTTTATCTTAGGTACTCCACTTTTAGCTGCTGGATTAAAGGACAGTTAAATAAACAAGGATGGTTCAGCAAGGCTAACTTTGGGGAAGCTCTGACCCCAATAATTATTTTCTTCTGTCATCACCTAGTCGAAATCACCCTGCATTGCTTAGGACTTTCTGATCTGTCCTGGACAAAAGATGCTACTGACGGGGTGTTCAGATTTTGACCTTAACACAACTGTAAGCTGTTTTGCCTAAACTAAAGCCCTCAACTCTACAGGAACCTTCTGGATCTGAATTTATTCCTTCTGAGACCCAGGGTCCCATTCCATTGCCTAACCAGCTCCAAATTCCTACTTTAGCCCCTCTGATGGTGCCATGTGGAATATGGTCCCTGCGCCCTTCTACCAGCTTTAGTGAGCACCCTTTGTGAGAGAGAAGTTTCGCTTGGGCTCTTCTTGCCTTGACATGGGGTAACATATCCCTTAAGATTTGATTTGGGGGAAGTGAAATAAAAAATGTTGTCAAGAACTGTGAACATTTAATTAAACAGCATAATAGATTAGCAAGGAATAATACTTAGTTCAATATTTAATCCAAGTTACACTAAAAGATTTTTAAGACAGATGTGGGTGGTAACAAGATTATTTTAAAATCTAGCTCTTTTAAGTGAAGACTTTGTTTTCTTTAATAATGAAGGACATGTTAAAGTCAACATCAAGCATAAGAAATTATTAGGATGCGTTCTTGAATATTTAACTTCTGTGCAAATTACTTAGAAAATAAAGAATAGTTTCTTACAAGCTTTTATTGAAAAGATCACCAGCTAAGAAAAATTTGCCATTTAGTAGAGAGAAACCCAAATTGTGTTTTGCATTAGTATAATATTTAATGCTAAATTCTTCAGATAAAATCTTATAAATAAATAAATCTATTTAGGGGCTGGGGATTTAGCTCAGCGGCATAAGCGTCTGCCTTGCAAGCAGGCAGTCGTGAGTTCGATCCCTGGTACCGATTTTTTTAAAAATCTATTTAAACTTAGCTCTGTTTACAAAAATAAACTCCCTTTCATTCAAACTTCAACAACTTTACCCAGGTAGGGTTTCCCTTACACCATGTCATGCTGAGCAACTATTCATTTTATTGTAGAAAAAAAATC